TTAAAAAATTATTATCAAATTATTTAAATTATTAATTTTATTTGTTTTTATTAACTAATAATAACAATATGAATTTATTGATAAATAAATATTAGTGGATAAAGTTTCTAATTTAACTTTTAGGACTAATACTAAAAAACTTTATTTCTTTCCTGTAATAATGTACAAGTGTGCCTCTAAAGATTCCCCCTCCTCCCCCAACCCCAAAAAACAGGGTCTTGAGCAATGAATGGACTTTTAGCTACCTTTAGGCCTTTAAAATGTCCGTATATTTGTCCTTCTCAACTGATCTACTCATTGAAATTCTTCATAAAAGGTTTCTAATCTCCTGCCTCCTCTCCTCCAAGCTTTTCCCTAGAATTTGCAGAGAAAATGGCAAATATATGTTCTTTTGTTTGTGTATTGATTGTAGCTGTTGATGTCGCTGCTGGTGTTCTCAGCATTGAGGCTGAAATTGCTAAAGATGAGGTGGGTTATATATCTAGGATTTTAGTGGGGTTGAAAACCTTTGATTTCTTCTCATGTAATTGTTTAAGTAGCATCAAATTTGCAATTTTGATGAGCAGGTAACACACAAGAGATTGAAAGATTTTAAGTGTGAGGAGCCAAATGATCGCGCTTTTAAGTTTGGATTGGCTGCAGCAACTCTACTAGGCTTGGCACATATTACTGAAGATTTGGTCGGAGGTTGTATGTGCATGTGCTTCACAGAAGAGCTTGAAAGATCATCCTCTAGTCGCCAATTATGGTTCGCATGTATCATTGTTTCTTGGTAAATTCATCATTCCTCAACCAATATTAGTTGGAAGAAAATTCTTAGCTTTGTTATTTTGATCTTATGATTTGGAGCCAGAAGGTAATAAGAAAAATGTTTATGATCGATGTTTATTGACCTGCAGGATTGTAGTGGCTATTGGGTTTCCAACATTGGTGGTGGGAATGCTGGAGAATTCAAAATCAAAAGGGTCATGCTGGACTTTGCCCCATCATTTTCTGTTCATTGGAGGGATATGCTGCTTTATACATGGCTTGTTATGTGTTGCATTTTATGTGTCTGCAAGTGTGAGCTTTGTAAATGGAAGAATACATGGCCCTCAGGAGGGACAATACCCTTAGAATCTCCCAAAACAAATGTACCTGGCTTTTTAAATTCATAATTTTGACTGAATTTTTCAAATTTGATCAACTACCCACTTCCTAACAGGGTTGAAGGTAGGAAAGTGCTAGAAAATTTGTTTGGAAGCTGAGAAAATGCATCAAACTACGTGTGAAATCTCTTCTGATACAGTGCAGGCACCCCAAATAGGTAAGGAAAGACATGAAGACAAACACTTCTACAAAAGCAAGGACAGTAAACTTTTCTTGGCATTTTGTTATAAGTTTTCTTGGAAAGAAGATGAACATGGAGTCTAATAGTAATTTGCACAACAAGAATAACTCTATTAATCCATTTCACTTACATGTTTGTGAGTTACTTAATCAATCTAAAACCTCTTGTTTTCATTCGAGGAAGATTATCAGAAGGCCTAGGTAAACAATTCAATAGTTGGAAGATAAATTGTTAATAGAATGAATGATATTGTTTATGCTTGATGAAACGACTTAGCTCACAACACGAATTTTGCAGAGGTCATGAATCCAATCACTTGGCTAAACATTGGCATACATATTTCCATATACCACAAAAATCCAGCCAAAAACCAAAGGTGTGGAGTAGGGATGGCAACTTCCCTCTCTGTCCTCGCGGGGTTTTGTTGGGTTTTCCCCGAGGGTGGGCGGTGATGCGAAGTATTTTCTTTTGGTGAAATTTTGTAGGGATATTTTTTGTGGGCATAGGGAGGCACTTGCCAATCCCACAAGACTTCTTGTTATCTCTAGGGTGGAGAAATAAAAGAGGATTCCCACCATCCCAGAAATGAAAAAAGAACAGAAAAAAAGCAAAAACAAGAGCAGTATCAGGGTGAAGTCAAATGATAATTAATAGGGAAGGGAAATTCTGTGGGGGGAAAGAAAAGACTTTGGGTGAGAGAGTTGAAATATCTGTCACCTTCACTCTCTTTTTGAATATAAATGAAAAATGTATGTAGGTGATTGTTTAAGTAGGTACATTATCCATCATTAGCCTTCCTAATTTTAATTGTCCTTCTCAATGATCCTACTCATTGAAATTCTTAGAATGATTGTTTAATTAGGTACATTACCCATCTTAGCTTTCCTTCATCTCTTTATTTTTTTCAATACAAATGTAAAACTTAAATTACACATCTTAAATTATATGCAAATGTCTTTACAACGAAGTAGATAGTTACTAGACCAACGAGAACTTCTTTTTTCTTCATCTTTATTAAAGAATAAAAGAAGGAAAATGTTATACATGAAATGAAAATTGCTTAAAATTAATGCATTCATTATTTCATTTTTTTTTAACCTACACAAAATTTCATTTGAAAAATGGGTATCTTATTTAATGAATTTAAGTTACTTCAAAAAGGAAAGAAGTATCTTATTTGCCATCTGGCTGAGCAAAATCTTTAGACTTATTAAATGTTGCAACCTAACTCTATTTTTATTAATTTTTAAATTTTACAAAATGCGCTAATTTAGAGGCTAGGCTAAATTTATTATAGGCGAAGATCATGACGTTACACGTTACAAAATTGTCAGCAGTTAATCATCCACAAGCTATATCAACATATACGGAGTACTTAATTATTTTAATGATAAGTTTTTTAGAAAAAATAAAAAATAAAAAATAAAAAATGTATTATATTTACGTAGAACAATTTAAAAGATAAAAAAATTACCTATTTTATTGATATTTTTTTCTCATAAAAACCAAAAAAAATTTAAATTTAAATTATATAACATATAATGAAAATAAATTAAAAATAAAAAAATATTATATAACACAAAATAGAAAAAAATTTACTATATCAATATATTTTTTTCTCCCTGGGTAGCAGCCGTCCTGCCACGAAGCAGAAAGCGCTGAATGCCCAATCTACATTCATTTTGCAATTTTCGGAAGTACAAAATTATTA